CAGTTTCCCCACTTCAACACTGGAGATCGTCATAACTGGCATGTATCGCATGCTTACCAAATGCCACACACCCTTGTTTCTACATTAATCCTGTGACAATCATGTAAGGTGGGGGCTGCGATCACCCCAACTTCCTGATGAGGCAGCACATAGAGGCCAGGTAATTTGTTCAAAGTCAGAATCAGGTCGACAGATAGCCCATCCTCTCTCTCTCTCCCCTAGCCCCCCTCTGCGTGTCTCTCTGTCGGTGGGATGCTGTGTGTGTGGAGAGTGCTCCTCGGGTGGAAGAGAGAGACTGTTGTCCTTCCAGGCAGCATCTACAGTCACCAGGTGGCCGGTTCTCCTTATGGGGCCGGCTCAGGCCCAAGGGCCAGGGGAGAGAGGACAGGGGAGGTACACACACACATCACACACACTAGGTGTGCAAGGCTGGACTCCAGAGGCCATGAGTGAGGAGAGTGGACACCTGGAGCTGATTCAGTCAAGTCCATGGTCAGGGACCTCGGGACTGTGGGTGTGGCCACACCCCTCCTGGGCCCTCCCCCAGCAGCCTCAACCTAGCCTCCTGTCCCTAAACCATCAGTTTCCCTTCCAGAGCCGGTGCCGGGGCCTGAGCCCTTCAGGAAGAAGGAGGTGGTGGAGATCCTGTCCCACAAGAAGGCCTACAACACCTGTGAGGGGCTGCGGAGGCCCAGGGTTTGGGGGTGGGGGGTGCGCTGGACACGACCCCCTCGGGGCCGCAGAGCCTCGGATCCACCGCAGTGGATAATAGGGATCGGGCCGTGTGAGCCCCCAGCGCCTGCCGCCGGGCTCTGTGAACACTCCCTCCCAGGTGCGGCTGCCAGCCGAGTCCCCTCGGGCGCGAGTGCCGCCTTGGCTCCGCCCCCATCCTGTGATCTGCTCCCAGTTCTGGCCCTGCCTCCAGCCGCATCTTCTGCTCGCCCCTTTAAGACCCTCGCTAGTTCCCTGGCCCCAGCTCCACAGTTCAGTTCAGTTTAGTCGCTCAGTCGTGTCTGACTCTTCGCGACCCCACGGACTGCAGCACACCAGGCCTCCCTGTCCATCACCAACACCCGGAGCTTGCTCAAACTCATGTCCATCGAGTCGGTGACGCCATCCAACCATCTCATCCTCTGTCGTCCCCTTCTCCTCCTGCATGCAGTCTTGCCCAGCATCAGGGTCTTTTCCAATGAGTCAGTTTTTCCGCATCAGGTGGCCAAAGTATTGGAGTTTCAGCTTCAGCATCAGTCCTTCCAATGAATATTCAGGACTGATTTCCTTTAGGATGGACTGGTTGGATCTCCTTGCAGCTCCACAGGCCCTACTCAATCTAGGTCTGTCCCCTGGAGAACCCTTCCCTTGAAGGGTCGCAGGACAGATCCTTTCGTCCTGTGGACCAGCTCCTGCCCCGCCCCCGCCCCCGCCCCGCTTACCCCGGCCCCGCCCAGCAGCTCCGGCTCCGCCCCGCTCACCCGCGGCCCCGCCCACAGCCATCCTGCTGGCGCACCTGAAGCTGAGCCCGGCCGAGCTGCGGCAGGTGCTCATGAGCATGGAGCCCCGGCGCCTGGAGCCCGCGCACCTCGCGCAGCTGCTGCTCTTCGCGCCCGACGCCGACGAGGAGCAGCGCTACCAGGCCTACCGCGAGGCGCCCGGCCGCCTCAGCGAGCCCGACCAGTTCGTCCTGCAGGTGCTGCGGCCAGGCCCGCCCCCTCCCGGGGCCAAGGGCGGCCGCCCTGCGGTCCTCGACCTCCTCTATCGCGGTTCTCTCTCTTTTTGTGCGTGCGTCCCGCTCCCCTGCCGGCCCCGCGCTCACACCTCTGAGTCTTACACCTTGAACAGCCAGGTCTCACTCGGGGTCCAGGGGAGATGGGATGAGGGTGCGCCCTAGAGGTCGTGCTTATTTTCCTAAGGGGATGCCGGCCGCGCGCTGACCCCACGCCAGGCTGCCCTGGGGCAGGGTCTCCCGGCGGCATGGATGAATGCTGGCCTTGCATTTCTGGTAGATGCTGTCGGTTCCCGAATACAAGACCCGTCTGCGCAGCCTCCACTTCCAGGCCACCCTCCAGGAGAAGACGGAGGAGATCCGGGGCAGCCTGGAGTGCTTGCGCCAGGCCTCCCTAGAGCTCAAGAACAGCCGGAAGCTTGCCAAGATCCTGGAGGTCAGGGCCACCCCCTCTCAGATCAGTCTGCCTGCTCCTCTGCCCCTGGGGCTTCCAGCCTGGAGGCCCATCCCCGGAGGGGCCAGGCAGTGAGGGAGGACCTGCCCTCTGGTTCTCTCCCCAGTTTGTGTTGGCCATGGGCAACTATCTCAACGATGGACAGCCTCAAACCAACAAGACCACGGGCTTCAAGATCAACTTCCTGACGGAGGTGAGGGGGCCGGTCAGGCAGTCGTCCATCTGTTTGCTCCGCCACCAAGGCTCCCCGGCAGGAAGAGCTGGCTACCTGAAGCCAGCATGTAACAGAAGCAAAGGCTGGGGCTTGAAAGCTTGGGGAGGCAAGGTGGCTTCTCCAGGCCTTGGAGAGACGGAGTGGTGGGGGAGGAGAGGGCAGGTGAGAAGGCTCCAGGAGGAAGGGGAGAGTCCCACCTGGTGGATTCTGTGCCCTTGACACCAGAACCACCGTCAGGCCAGTCCTACCCCAGAAAGATCTAGAACCAGAGAAAGGACAACTCAAATAACCAGCCTTCCCCCTGTGTGTTTGGGACTTTCCACTGCAACACCTTTGGTTGCTTTTTAAAAGAGAAAGGACAACTCTGTTTACAGATATGAATGGTTTAGGGTGTCTGAGGCTCAGCTGGGCCACAGATGGTTCCAGAAAACCACAAAAGGGAAATACCTTGAGTGATGCTCCCCACTTTCGCTGGGGTTAGAAAATCTTGGGCTCCATCTACTGACAAGAACAAACTCACAAGGACCAAGAAGAACCTAGGTGTCTCCCCTAGCTGGGGATGGGAAGGACTGGTTCCTGGGGAGGGGGGGGGCTGTCCTCAAATATCTGGGCCAGGGGACAGGCTCGTGACATCCCAGCAGATAAGAGCTTCAGAGTAAGGACTACTAGCCATCGGTTTATAAGCTTTGGAGTTGACGAGTGTCGGGGGTGGGCAACTGATGCCACAGGCTGGGGAAGCAGGGCTGAGCCCCTGTGATCAGGAGTCAGATGGGGTCCTGGAGGAGGACGTGTGTTGGGGTCACTTGCAGCTGAATTCCACCAAGACGGTGGACGGGAAGTCCACCTTCCTGCATATCCTTGCCAAATCGCTGAGCCAGCACTTCCCTGAACTCCTGGGCTTTGCTCAGGACCTGCCCACCGTGCCCCTGGCTGCCAAAGGTAAGCTGGGTGGGCGGGTGGGGAGGCAGAGCCCCCACTTTCCTGGGCTGGCCTCATGGGCAGCCCCCATAGGCTCTATCCCCTTGCCTACAGTGAACCAACGAGCCCTGACCAGCGACTTGGCTGACCTCCACGGCACCATCAGTGAGATCCAGGCCGCGTGCCAGAGCATGTCCCCCTCCAGTGAGGACAAGTTTGCTGTGGTCATGGCGGTATCCTGTCCCAGGGCCACAGTGCACTCGGGGCGGGGTGGGGGTCAGGGAGAGCTGGCCATCGCTCCAGCGACTGCTGCAGACCCCTGTGTCCTGGCGGAGAGTCTGGGCAGAGGCTGCCGTTGTTGCCGGGCTTGTAGAGGAGTCCATCTTAGGTCATCTAGAATCTAAGCGCTTATGCCGAGGCTGTGTGTAACTGAGAAGGAGCTCTTCTGATTGGCCTAAAGCCACTCCCTTGCCCTGTCTGTCTTTTTTTTGGTGGGGGGGGGGGGGGGCGGGCAGCAGAACCCAGACTGAGGTCACAAGATTCAAGGAGAGGTTTGTCATGCCTGACTAGCCAAAGGCAGTCAGGAGAGGAAATGTAGTAACAAATGCTATAGATTTTTTTTAATGAAAAGGACAGAGAGGGAGAACAGCCTAGAGAGGGATAAGGAGCCCGTCTCCGTGCGTGGTCAGGTAAGAGAGGGTGGTGGCCTCTGGGCAGAGCCAGGAGAGCAGAGAGCTGCCCAACAGAGGGAAGCGAGTGAGTGGCTGGCCTGAGGCTGGGCTGGGTGTGGCGGGTGTCAGGACAAGCCAGGAGCCTGTGACGGGGGCATGGTGCCCGGGAGAGCAAAGCGCCCCGGGGCAGTCAGGCCGCTGGCTGGGCCACTGCTGGAGTACCTGCCCCGGGGCCCGCAGCGGCCTCCTTAACAGAGGCCGTCAGTCTTTTCTCGAGACGGCGCAGCCATTGCTGCGGGCGCTGGACGGGCTGCAGCGAGAGGCCATGGAGGAGCTGGGCAAGGCACTGGCCTTCTTCGGGGAAGATTCCAAAGCCACCACCTCCGAGGCTTTCTTCGGCATCTTCGCGGAGTTCATGAGCAAGTTCGAGGTGAGCCCCGGTGGGAGGCCCTGGGAGAGGGCAGGGCCCGAGGTCAGAGGAGGGGGCTCCTGTGTGAGGTCAGAGGAGGGGGCTGCTGTGTGAGGTCAGAGGGGGCGGCTCCTGTGTGAGGTCAGAGGAGGGGGCTGCTGTGTGAGGTCAGAGGGGGCGGCTCCTGTGTGAGGTCAGAGGAGGGGGCTGCTGTGTGAGGTCAGAGGGGGCGGCTCCTGTGTGAAGCCAGAGCGGGAAAGGGCCCCTGGTGAAGGACACGCCCCCAGCTGGGCGGGGCCATAGGGGTCCGCCCAGGCCGTGGGCGGGGGCCGCGGGGCCGCCGGCCGAGCGCCTCCCCACGTGCTCCTCTGTCCCCAGCGAGCGCTCGGCGACCTGCAGGCAGCCGAGGGCCCGCGCAGCTCGGGGATGGTTTCGCCCCTGGCCTGGTGACGGCGGCGGCCCGTGCGTGGAGACGGACGCCCGAGGCGGCGCCCGAGAGGGTCGCGCGGACGCCGCCCCGCGTGGCCCCGAGCGGTCCGGGTGCGGAGTGGCGCCCAGCCACCCGCGCGTCTCCAGCTACCTCAGCAGTCCAGCTCCAGCCGCCCGCGAAGATGCGGGGACCCCTTCTCAGGGCCGAGCCGGGGCGCCAAGAGTTGAGGGCGCGGGGCCGGAGCCTGCGCGCCGATTCCCGGGTACGGGTGGGTCACCCGCCGACTTCCCGCGCTTCCTTGTTCACCTCCTCCCGCCCCGCCCGTCCCCGCCCGTCCCCGCCCCGCTCTCGGCCCTCTGGACAACACGGTCCGGGGAGGTGGGGACACCGAGAGCGGTGTCCGCGCACTAGGACAGCCTCTTGGCCTGACCGTGCCCGGCCCCAAGCAAGGACGTCTGAACCTTTCCTGAGCCTGCTCCGAGCGCGCCCAGGAGACTTTCTCACGGAGCACAGAGCCCGCAGACCTCGGACTTTGGAGGAGGAGGCAGACGACCTGGAACAAGCCACACCTGGGGCTGCTTGAAGAAGGCTGGAAGGGGAGCCCCAAGTGCAGGGACCTGATGGCGGCGGGGGCGGGTGCGCACCTATGCTCCGCCTCGAAAGCCGGAAGAAGTTTGAGTCCAGTGCAGCCCAGAATCAAGGCAGGCAGGCTGGAGGGCAACTGCGCAGAGATACAGGAAAGGATTCAGAAGGTCCTTTATGGCAGGTTGCAGGATTGAGGATTGCAGGATTGCCCACCGAGAAACTAAAATCCAATTTAGAAGTGGGGAGTCTGGAAGCGGGAGGGGGTCGTCAAGTAAGGGCTGAGAGAACAGGGAGGTGTTTAGGTGATGGATAAACAGGACTTGGTGGCTGGTTGCCAGGCTCCTCTCCTGGGTGGGTGGTGGTGATGTTCCCTAGAATAGGCCGCATTCAGGCAGTAACCCCATCTGGGACAGATTTGGGGGCCCCAGAGTCTGTTTTACATGTGTATCTCGGGATGCAGGGAGGAGTTACTGGGATGCTGGGAGCAGGGCGGGAGCTGGGGGCATCCTTTTCCTTTCTTTGTTCCATCCTTTACATTCTCCAGTTGACAAAGCCTGGGTCTGGCAGCTTCCAGCTACCTCTTGCCCTGACTTTCTTCCAGAGAAGCCTGGAATGGGCTTTAGAGCCCATCCTTTGGGCTGTTCTTTCTCCCACGGTGACTGAGTAACTGGTGTTGCCCCTGGACAGCATTGGGGACCCGTTCAGTTCTTCCCAGTCTCCCACCAGCCCCTCTTTGAGACCACGTATGTTCTTTCTTTGTTTCCCACTCACAGCCACCATATAGAAATATCTAAACCGAACTCTGTGATTCAGGTGGGGGATATGCGCCCAGATGTGGCTCGTGGAGGGCATTTCTCCCCAGCAGCTCTAGCTGGATAGGTTTCGTAAGTTCCCAAAGTCTTTGTCTATGGGGAACGTTTCGGAAGGTGCATTAAAATCCCTGTGTGAGGTCTGTAGAGACTAGAGACTGCACCGGCTATGAACAAGCATGACCCTCAAGCCCCTGTATGGCATTTTTCCTGCAAACTAGAAACCTCTCCAGGTATATCCAGCCCCATGCTAGGGGACCCAGGTTGACAAGCCAATCGCTAGCTGGGTTTTCTCCCCATAATGCCTTGTGTGGGCGTGCTCAGTTGTGTCCGACTCTTTGCCCATGGACTGTAACCCGCCAGGCTCCTCTGTCCATGGGATTCTCCGGGCAAAAATACTGGAGTGGGTTGTCATTCCCTTCTCCAGGGGATCTTCCCGACCCAGGGATCGAACCTAGGTCTCCTGCATTGCAGGCGGACTCTTTACTCTCTGAGCCCCCAGGGAAGCCTATAATGCCTTGTAACTGATACCTATTTCCCACACAATGCTGTGTAACAAACTGTCCCAAAACTCAGTGACATAAAACAGCAGCCACTACCACTCTTGGGTCCATGGGTCACCTGGGCAGTTCTAATCTGAGCTGGGCTCAGTGGACTCACTCATGTGTCTGCGGTCCTCTGTGGGTCAGTGGTCAGCTTTGATAGTCACGCAGGGCTCTTTCCACGTCCAGGGCCTTGGCTGGGACCATGGAGATAGGTTCGTGTGGTCCCTTATCCTCCAGCCAAAAAGCCAGGACAGTTTACATGGTAAAGGCAAGGGGAACAAGCAAAGGCAGAGAAAAGCCCTGGAAGCCTAAGCTCAGAACTGTCACCACATCCCTTCTGCCACATCCTATTGTCAAAGCAAGTGACAAGCCCAGCCCAGATTCCAGGGGAGGGGAAATAGACTCCCTTCTTAACGAAAGGGGATGGGTGGGTAAAATTTGCTCAGTCGTGTCCAACTCTTTGCGACCCCATGGGCTATATAATCCATGGAATTCTCCAGGCCAGATTACTGGAGTGGGTAGCCTTTCCCTTCTCCAGGGGATCTCCCCAAGTCAGGGATGGAACCCAGGTCTCCCGCATTGCAGGCGGATTCTTTACCAGCTGAGCCACAAGGGAAGCCCCTCTTGATGAGAAATGCTGCCAAACCGCAAGGCAGAGGGTGTGGGCTCAGGGTCAGGTACAGTCAGAGCCATTGTCGCCATCCGTCTGCTGTTTGCATCCACGGCCAGGCATCCTGGGGAAACTCCCAGCCTCCTTGCAATCCTCAGAGGCCCCTGTCCTCCCTGGACCCAGCAGAGCTCTGCTCACCCTCCTCATGTGTCCTCCAAGCGCCATACGTTTCCTTCTGTCTCACCTAGTCACCCTTGAGTCACCTGACCCCTCTCAAGATGCTCTCAGTCTGGGGGCAACAGCGATCTATGCCTGCCTAGCAGCCAGTGTCCCTTCTGCTGGGGAAAACTCCCTATTTCTCCTTTGGGAAATTATCCCTCCTCTGCCCCCAGGCCTTGGAATGTTGCTGAGTGGATAAGACTGGTTCTTGGGACTCCGGCCAGGCGGCTCAGAGTCAATTCAAGACTCAAGTTAGAAGTGTTTGGGAAGGAGGCCCCTTTCTTCTGGATGAATCATTGGGTGTACAGAGGGTGGGATCCTGGAAGGAGCTGCCAGGACGACCACATGAAAGGCACCCGCCTGGGTGTAAACCAATACCGAAGAAAAGGAGAGAAGACCACTCCGGCCATCTCCTTGCCCCTGAATCCAACTGTGCCTGAAGCAGACACCCTGACTTTCCACTTTCCAAGCTGACAAATTGCCCCCCTCCCACCGTTTGTAAATTTTTTTAAATTTCTTTTAGTTTTTTGGCTTAGGCTGGTTTGAATGGGTTCCTGTCACTTGCAACACCAAGAGGGTGAACCAATCAACAGATGGTTACGGATGTTCAGTGTTTTCACCTTCTCTTCGTTCACAAATGCATTCGCCAATACAGTCTGACTGCCTCCCACATGCCAGGCACAATGCTGCATGCAGATGTCGGCCTCTCTGAGTTTGGTTTCCCAGGGTCATATTTCACAGTGATTCTTCACCTGAGTCAGCACGAAGCCCTATATGTGAGCCAATTTGTGTGCCATACCCCACTCCCTGCCCCCGTTCCTCACCAGATGACGAGGTGTGACAAGCAGGAATGGATTTCCCTTTCAATAATACTACAAAATAGTGTGGCCCAATCACACACCACCTTCTCTAATAACATCTGTTAATGTTTACTAGGTAGTGAGCTTCATGTTTCTACATATATCACTTTATGTTCACAGTGACCCTCTGAGGTGGGTTTTGTTATCTTCTTTTTACAAATAAAATATCTGAAATTCAGGAAGGTTATGTGACTTGCTGGATGGAAAGTCAAGTCTGTCTAAATCCCAAGCCCATCCTCTGAGTGGAAATAACTTCTTTGTTGTGCTTAATGTGATTTTTCAAAACGTCTATGAGTGTTCCAAGGGCCACTGATGCTGGTAACTTCAACAGAAAGACAGCCCTGCCTCTTTTCCCAGCCCATTCTGTTCCTCTCTGCTCAGGCTGCCACAGCAAAATACCATAGGCTGAGTGGCTTGAATGAATGCATGCGTGCATGCTCAGTTCTGTCCAACTCTTTCCTATCCCATGGACTGTAGCCCCCAGGCTCCTCCATCCATGGGATTCTCCAGGCAAGAATACTGAAGTGGGTTGTCATTTCCTTCTCCAGGGGACCTTCCTGACCCAGGGATTGAATCCGTGTCTCCTGTGTCACCTGCAGACATTTTTTCCCTCCCAGCCCTGGAGGCTGGAAGTCCAAGATCAATGTCTCAGCAGGTTGGGTTTCTCCCGAGCCTGCTCTCCTTGGCTTGTAGGTGGCGGCTTCTCAGTGTCCTCACGTGGCCTCTGCTCTGTGCATTGCCGGTGTCTCTTCTTATAGTGACACCAGTCCCACTGGATCAGAGTTCCATCCTTATGACTCCTTTAACCTTAAATATTGCATTGGCCAAAAAGTTTGTATGGATTTTTCTGTACACTATTATGGAAAAACACCAACAAACTTATTGGCCAACCCAATACCTCCTTAAAGAACTTATGTCCAAATGCAGTCACCTTCTGAGGTGTTGGGGGCTAGGACTTCCACACAGGCACTTGGGGAGTGAGACACAGCTCAGCCCATGTCACCGCCTTATCAGGTGCCACGGATCTAACAGTGCTGGTTCCAAGGAAGCCACGGAGATCCGAGTTCAGCGGATGCTCCAGAGAGAAAGGGTTCGGGCGAGCAGGTTTTCTCCCCTCCTCCCCCATCTGCACACCTCTGTGTCCCTGCCCTCACCTTCATCCCATACCGTCCAGGCCTTGCTCTCAATGCCAATCAGTCACTAATTCTTTGTGCCATATCCCCGCCTCCCCAAGCTCCCAGGGGTTCCAATGCACCTGAGACCACAAAGCATCTTCCACTGGCTCTTTCCCCATCGCCAACAAACACCCCTCTACCTGCAGCCCTCAAAGAAGAGTCTAGAGCCCAGTGGCTCGGGTCCCCTCACTCCCTCCTTTAGACCAAATCTTGCAGAGCTGTTGAAGCATCTTGTGTACACTCACACCTCTGCATCCTTGCCATCCACTCACCGCTCAGCACCAGGCAACCTGGCTTCCTCTCCCATCACCCTCTGCAGCTGCTGTTGCCCCGACCAGGAAACCACAGGAAGTGCCCATTATCCCTGTCTGCGCTGACCTTTATTTAAGCAGCACCGGGCACTGTTTGCCCTCCCTTGGCACATTCTCACACACCCAGGCTTCAGCTAGCAGATGTCTA